AATTCAGATCAATGATGAACTTCAATGAACTGTCGGCCAACAAACCCCCTCTTCTAAAGAGTAAAACCCACACAATTTCCCACAGCATTTAACGTGTAAGGATAAACAAACTACAATTACCAGCGCCGAGTAGAGCCTCTGGTTGACTAAGTGCTGAGAGTACCATTCAAGATCAGAAGCAACATGACCCGTAAACAACGAAATTAAACCTAACGCAAAGAGCATCAAACCACACAACATCGACCATGAAAACGTCGCCTTCCTCTGCGCCGACGTTGATCTCGACAGTACATTCTTGCTACTAACAGCATAACCTTTCCCACTATCCTGCGGCTGTAACAGAGCCAGGTTCCCTGATATCAAGCTAAACCTCCAAGCTTTCAACACGCCCATTCAAACCCACCTCCAGCCTAATTACACAAGCCTAATAACACCAATACCCATACTCGAAATTCCAAATGTTCCGAGTTTACGAAGAATGCGAGAAAGAAAAGAAAAAAAACAAAACAAAAACGTAACCGATTGGGGACGACAATAATGCAAACAATGTTGATGCAAATGCAAATGCAAATGCGAGCGCGAGGACGTGGAAATTAGGGCTCTGTGGCCGTTAAACTTCAAGTAGAAACCCTAGAAATCGTGATCGGCCTGAACAGAGCGTGTGATTGAATCGGAGCAGAGAAAATGGGGAGGAGAAATGGGATTTACAGAGGAGAATTGAAATTGTTGAAGACGAAGAGGAGAGATTAAAGAGACGGAGAGATGAGAGTGAAAATGGCGGAAAGAGAAATGGAGATTTATGCGAAGGCGATCAATGACTGAAAATGGGAAGAAAGAGAGATTTTTTTCAGTCCGGCTAATAAGGAAACCCGATGCCCGATGAAGATCACTCACCTGACTGACGGCAGTCCAATTTTGCCGACGCCCTTCTGGGAGTTTCCGTTTTATATGAGGGCAAATTTGACATTTCATTCTTCTTTTTTATTTTCAATTTCATTTTTTATTAAATTGCAAATTTAGAATTATTCTCTATATTTATTAAATAGTCGAATTATAGAGACGGGACTATTTATAATAATTTTATGATGGTAGGAAAATCTTAATTTCCTTAATTATTCGAATTTATAATTTAATTTAAATTAAGTTTAAATGGCTAGTAAATTAATACATAATAAATGTAAAATTATAAGTTTGGAAGAATAAATTATATTAAATTATATAAAATATCCTTACATAAATTTCAATTATGTCTATAAAGGCGTGTTTAGCAATGTTTTGAAGTGTGGAGCCATACGAAGTCATTGTTATTTTATAATTTTTCTAGAGGCAATTGAGAGACTTTTGTTGAAATACTTTGTTGTGAACACTTTGGTTATAGTGATTGGCTACCACTAGTGGATGCAGGGGAATTTCTTTTCTCAAAACCACGGAAATTTTTGTGTCTCGTTGTTTAATTTATGTTAGTGGGTGTGATCGATCTTGTTTGTGCTTTCGCTACAACAATTTACATCATAGTAATTTAGTTGTGGCATTCCGCCACAACGATTGGGTATCAAAGCATTTTTTGTCATGACATTTCACTGCAACAATTGAGTATTAGAGCATTGAAGGTTGTGGCATTTCGGCACAACAAGTGGTATCAGAGCATTTGAAGGTTGTGGCATCATTACGGCTCAAGAAATGGTATCAAAGCATTTGAAGGTTGTGGCATCGGCGCACAACAAGTGATATCAGAGCATTTTTGTTGTGGCATTCCGCTACAATAATTGGGTATCAAGCATTTGAATGTTGTGGTATTTGAGTACAACAAGTGGTATTAGAGCGTGAGGTTGTGGTATTTGAGGTATTGTGAAAGACTTAACCTCATTGACCACTAAATGTGTTATGATACCAATTATGGTTTATGTAATTCCACGATAAAAAAATACTAATACCCAATTGTTGTAGCGGAAGCGGAAGCAAAATCAACTGTACTCATACACCCACAAACAAAAATTAAAGAAACCTACACAAAGATTTACGTGGTTTCGGAGAGAAGAAATTCTCCTACATCCAAAGGGGGTGGTCAATCACTATAATCAAAATGTTTAGAAGTATATCTCTCGTACTCTCACACTTAAGAATCTCTCTTACAAAAGTTCCTCCCAATTGTCTCTAGCATGTGCTAAATAACAATGACTCCACACCTCAAAACAATGCGTTTATATAAACATATGAATATTAATTAGAATATTAATCAAAATTATTACGAACTAAATGGGAGTTAATAACCAAAATAAATAAGAATATTAATGAAAATGGTTATAAACTAAATGAGACTTAATAACCAAAATAAATGAGAATTATGACCATTAATCTTCGTGACAATTTACATCAATTACAACTTATATCTCAACTATAATTGATCATCTAATAAACAAGTTGTTTATGATCAAATCATAAAATATAAGCTGTAAGGGTTGGGCCAGATTATTGAAGTCTCAAAATCAGCACTTACGGGAACTACTCATTTATACAGCATATGATCATCCTATAAAATAATAGTTTTTTCAATTAACGAACTTATAAAGAGAAATTAAATATTTTGTAGTTTAGTCTTATATAAACTCATTGTATAGAATACTCCTACTCACAAGTCTCCACATGAGTGATTTTGATCAAATTATCAGTAACAATTACAAAGTGAACCAATCAGTAATGTCACCCTGATAAGTCATTTAGTGCCATAAAACTTATTTTGTTGTACCGAAAGCTAATGATCTAAACATGTGGTAAATAGCCTCTACAGAGTTTATAGGTAGGCTGTTTATACTCACTCATGCTACTTTTATGTTTTAGATTGTTTGCAAGTAGTTTTCGTTGGTGGGAGCGCTCAGGAACCATGCGGCTATAGGAAAAATCGTAGATCTATGTCATTTGGGTCTAGTGGTTTTTAACCGTTGTTATGTTTTGAATATCTGAAATTACATTTATCGCAAACTCATACTTACATTTAAATTTTTACGAATTTAATATATTTTGAAATTGAGTACGTTGAAATTCTCCTCTAATACCCATATCTTAAGAATGAAAGAAAAAAAAAACTATAAAGTCCGTGCTTGACAATTTGTAATTTAAACTTCGAAGAACGAGTCATTATAGTTATATAAAATTGTTCGATGCAATACAACCAACTCAAATTCTAACGTTGTTTTGATTTATTTACCTCTATTACAATCACTCAATTTTATTTAAAAAATAAAATATAAAAATGAAAAAAAGAAAAAAAAAACAAACTCAAAATTAAAAATAAAATTTAGACAATCATTAGGAGAATTTCAACCTTTTTCATAAAATTAAAAATAAAAAAATAACAATAATAATAATGACAATTTTCATTCATTAATTTTACTTTTATTTTCATTTAGCTTGAATTTCTAGCTGCCAAACCTTTTCTCACAGCTTTATTTTTTAAAAAGCAAAAGTTAGTCATGATTCTGATTCCTTTAAAAAGATTATGGTGACAATGATCGAAAAACGTCGTGATATAATTTTCATACGAGTTAGAGAATTCAACGAGAAATGTCAGTATTAATTTTTGTCATGGTTTGTCTAATGAGTCCCGAACCAAGTTCGAGCAATGGGCGAGCTAGGTCTCTAGTGGAATACGCCATAATTATTGGATACGTTGTGTTTTACCTTGTTTATGTTGTCAACCTCGAAGATCAAGGGAAGATCCTACGTAACTACAAAGATTTCCAAAAATTAATATTTTTTTATTTAAATTACGAGAAAAATAATCACAAATATATTTAATGAAAACAAGTGTAGATAGTGTCATAGTCGCATTCATGACAATATAGTCAAATATAAAATTTAAAATTTAATATAGTCAAATATTTCAAATATATATTCTTTTTATAGTTATTTAATTTTATATGAATGGAAATGTCATTTTTTTTTTCGGGTCTTAAAGTAAATAATAATAATAATAACAACAACAATATCAACAGATATGCTACATCAACAATATTTAAGACGGATATAGGTCAAGGTAAAACGAATAAGTATTCTGACAGCGTAGTTAAGAACATGTTTGAGAGTAATTTTGAAATAATTAAAATTATTTTTCATGTGATAACTTTTTTTTAAACATATCTGTAATTATTTAAAATAGAGATATTTACGAGCGAGGATGGGAAGTCTTCCCCGTCCCCAATCCTACCGCCTATTTCATTTCCTATCTTTGTCACTTATTTTTTCATAATTTTTTTTTATTTCTCGAGGTATTTTAAAGTTTTATTTATCAATATAATATTTATTAAAAATTTCAATACATTTCATGAGCAAATATAAACATAATTTAAAAATTCAAATGTTAATATTAGGCACGTTAGCAATTAAAAAAACCCAAATCATAATCTGTAGTTTAAATATTACCACTAGAGTCAAAATTAATTATTTTTTTTTCAATATAGCAAAAAAAAAAATGTTTATATATATATATATATATATATATATATATATATATATATTCAATTTGGGATGAGCTTACTACTTAGATGTTTTCAGCAGTTATCCGCTCCACACTTGGTTACTCAGCATTTACCGTGGGCACAATAACTGGTAAACCAGAGGTGCGTCCTTCCCGGTCCTCTCGTACTAGGAAAAGGTTCTCTCAATACTCTAACGCCCACATCAAATATGGATCAAACTGTGTCACGGACGTTCTAAACCAAGCTCACGTAGAACAATGATATAATAAAAAAATGTTCTTCATTCTCTGTCATTCGTGTCGAAACAAATCCTAATTCTATTAATTTTGAGTAAGTCTACTAGAGTAGAATCAACATCTCTAACTCAAAAAAAATTTATTCATATGAAAATTGAATTAATATTAGCCATATAAAACAAAATGGTTTCAGGGCCTTGAATGTAAAGCCCAATTGAAGGCGACTCAGCCCAGCCCATTTATCTCTCTGAAAAAAATAATAATAAATCAAATTTATTTTATAACAGTTCTAAAACCCTTAACCCCTTTCAGCTCAGTCGTGTCCAGTAGAATTTCCAGATCTCCTCTTTTTTCTTTCATGGCTTCTGCTTGCCGAAGAATTGCGAGCAGAATCTCCCAATCTTCCTTCAGAACACTTCTCCGTACAAATTCTCCGGCCAAATCTCCATCTTCTTCGTTCCCTCTGCCGCCTAAATCCTCTGCACCTTCCGTTAGCCGATTCTCTCTCGCCAGGTATTTCTCTTTATCCTTTTATTTCTCCTTGTTTCTGTACATTATGTCGCTGCACTTGGTCCACTTTTCTTGCTTGTTTTCATTTTGATTTTTCTGATTGGTTCTACTACTGCTAGGTCTCCGTCGGAGCTGGGATGCGTTCAATCGCTTTTGCCTTTTCACAACGCGGTTGCTGGAGCGAGAATGATTTCCTGTCTGAGCACAAATTCGAGGAGTTGTCGTGCGCTTTCTCAGGGTACTACTCTCTGCTGACCCTCTCCTGGTCTCTAACATGAAATATTCTACTTTCTTTTGAATTGTGAGTAGCTTTTTTATGTATTACCTGTAGACTTTTCCTTTTCTTGCTCTGCAATTGTATGTCAGTATTTTTGTGATGGCATCTTCTGATTTTTGTTGTAGTTTTCATTGGTGCATTGCTCCGCAAATCGTGCACATTGTATGTGAAGTATCAACCATGTTCCATGATCTTACGATTTGATGTTTTTTTTTTTTTGACGTCCTTTCTGGCATAAATTGGTACAATTATAGTTTAGAAGTTTAGAGTACTGGATTGCTACTGATGCTTTAGGAAGATTTTGGTCAACTTGTATAAAAATGGAAGTCGAACTGAAGCTAGATCGTTTAAGTTGACCATCCCAGGAAGAGAAACCATCCTAGTTTTGGTTCTCCCTTTTTTGGTTTCTTTCTTTGTTGGTTTCAACTTTTGTACCCCAGTTCAACTGGTCTTTATCTCGAGTAAAATTAATTACTAGAACGATAAGGAGAGAATGAATGGAATGACTTTGGTTCTTGACTGGGGACCTTGAAACTGACTGGAGTATTTGGTTCCTGCAGGCACATAATATCAATTGTCAATATGCTTGAAAGAAATAGATTGGAAGTTTGTGGAGCTTTCCTATTATGGTGCAGTGTATCGATATCAAGTATGAAACTAATTATCTCATAGTAGTCCTAAAATGTCGAAGATATTCAAATTCCTATTATTATAACTTGCAAGGAACTAATGATCTGTCAGCGGTGGCTAGTTACCACTTTTAATTACCGTATAAAAAATGGAACTGTTACATACTCTCTATTCAGCAGTAGTCATTTCCTGAATCTTTAAATCTTAAGAGTCTCCTATGGAAAACTTTTGACTTGAAAAGTCAGTTACCAAATTTAAGAGAACGGAATGACAGATTGGGTTCCCCCATAAATCAGCTTTGTGTCTGCAATCTAGTTCTCATCATCCTGAAGAAACTATCTCGAAAAGAATCTATTCAGTTCTCATGGAGTTCATGATGTTAGAATAAGGGGATGATCCAGTCTATAGTTTTAGTTAATTCCGTTATATGAACTAACCGTTGTTTGTTTTATGAACGGCATCATTTTTGCTTACAATAATTGTGTGTAGCGAGCTTAAAAGATCGTACCTTCGAAGTTATAGCTCACAAATACTCTTATGATTGTTCTTATCATTCAACCCATTAATTTCTTTTATCAAATAATCTATATGACATAACTTCTCATTGCCCCAGATGCATTTGATGGTACGTGAGACATATTTGCTGTTTTTGAAGGTGGGCCAGTCACGCTATACTTCACTAATCTAGAAATGTCACTTTTGAGTGATGTGTAAGGGTTCCATAGATGTTAGTTCTTGGTGCCTTTGGTTTGCCTAATGTACATGTAACGATGCCCATATCATACTCCTTTAGTTATGTGCCAAGCAAACCTTGACTATTCTCGTAACTAATCTTACGGGACGACTATCTAACTCGAGAAAAATCCATATTACTTAAGATCATGTATCAGTTGGCATTGTTGACAATAATTTATGGATTGTTTTTGTTACTGTAGAACTAGATTGCCGCATCAGTTTTCTTGAATGAGATATGAAATGAATCATATTGCATTTTGGACTCCATTCCTGCTCTAGCTATTACTTACATTCGTAGCATATCTTCCTTATTTTTGTACTTGTATTCTGTGGCTGCAGAGCTAGGTTTATCCGTTCCAAGGTGACTTAATTGGGCAGATCACTGCAGTGACAAAGGGATGTCAGCAATGGCTTAGTGGATTTCTTTTAAGTACTGTGACCAATTCTGCTCAATTTGTTTAACTAATTTTGATTATTCCATATTCAGAGTTGAAATAAGAATATAGTGATTCTAGTTCTCATGGCAACTCAGAAAACAATATTTTTCGCCATTGTTGTGGGTCATAAATGTTTGATCTTTGTCATAGATATGTATGTTTCTTATTTATTGAGATGCACATCATATTATTTTCTTTTGGCTTCCATGGAACAATATATCTTGTAAACAAATGGCGGCTGTTTTTCTTACTACTAGAACAAGCAAGCCTACAAAATGAGGAATGACACACTTTGTACTATGAGCTTAAGAGATTATAACACCAAGGGTTGGGAAATTTTGCATTGAAATCTTGTACAATCATTGTCATTCATGATCTTAGTTCTGTTAATGGGTTCCTTTTAAATTCATCAATGTCATCTGTATGGGAAATCTTCAAAGCTTATGCAAAAGGAAAAAGAATCTATAATCATCTGCAGCTCCCAATTTGATTACTTTCTGCTACCTCTGCCTGTTTTAAATCCCTACGAGCAACACAGGCACCCTAAAGAGCCCACGAAACCGATCCGATCCACTCGAACCACACTCTGGTTTGTGTATTTGCCTTTTCTATATACATCCCCGCTTTGTCCCATCGGCCCAACCATAGTTCAACAATACTCAGTAGTTGGTTTGATACCATAATCCTCAATTGGTTGTTTGTTTGTTTGAAGTACTGCATCATGATCTGATCTCCCATTGGTAGAATGCTTAGAAATGTGATGCTATCAGGTTTTACATCTTTCATCTAATGCCATTTAGTAACATGCTAAGAAATGTGATGCTATCAGGTTTTACATCTTTCATCCATTGGCATTTAGTAGAATGCTAATAAATGTGATGCTATCAGGTTTTACATCTTTGGCCACGTGTATAGATCAACAGACCCACTCAAATGCTTGAAAATGTGAATAGATGGTGCATTCTAAGATGAAGTATTTGGCCCATCCATCTTTGGTAGAATATCTACATCATCTTCAATATTCCTAATTGAGCCAAACCATTTATTAGTTCATTGTATAATTTTGTTAACTAAATTACGAACACGTCAAGAAATTACATGACCTTACATATCATGATTAGGGATGTTCATTTAAGTGCTTCAAACGAGTTGGGAATTCCTATTTAAACTGAGAATAAGGAGATAGTGGGAGAAAATTTCTCTCTATTAACTAAGCAGGGTCTTTGTCCCCATCTTCGTCCCTAACCCTAACCTTACCTAAATCCTCACTCTGTGTTACTCATTTTTTATGTCCAACATTATATTATATTTTTTCTTCTAGAATATTATTCGATATTTTTTTAACATGGAATAGATATTTTTTTTAGAATATATATTAGATGAAAAAGAATTATTAGTATAAGAAATCTCTATCTTCCTCCTTACAATATAAAATGAGAATTTCATGAGATAAGAATTAATTATAGTCGGTCGAGAAGAGACTAAGACTACTAATTATTGGTCGAAAAGAGACTAAGACTACTAATTATAGTTCGTCAACCCGTAGAGAATATAGGTAACAAAAAAAAGCTCAAATGGGTGAGAAGCAAATTCAATTCAAGCAACAATTCCCAATCCTTTTGGGAGACATTGCTAATATAAGCAAAGAAAACGGACATCCTTGACTGTTAGGAAGAAAACAAAAAGAACAGCAAGGAAAAAGCGAAGAAAATAACTGCAAAAATTGATTGGAAAGCGAAGGCTTTTCAAGAACAAACACAATGAGAAACCATGGAAGAACAGAAAAGGAAGCTTTAAAAAAGCTTACACAGAATTTTCTTCTGTGATTTCTGTTTGGAGGAAAAGAAAAAGAAAGAGAAAATCAATGGAAGACTTCGGTATCATGTCTGGGTTGGTGGCCGTGCAGTTTGTGTATGCAGGGAACTCTGTTTTCATGAGCTTTCTCATGTCTTTAAGCATTGATCCATTAACTCTCATCATCTTCACAACCTTCTTCACTTTTCTCATTGTCTCTCCCGTTGCTGTTTATTTCGAACGGTTCGTCTTCTCTCTCGTTCGATAACGATTTTGTTTTTTTGCTCGAATAAACCACGTTTTAAATGGTTATCAAACGAGGCTTTGTTCACGGGTTTTGCAGGTTGAATTGGCCGACCAAACTTAGTCTAAAGTTGATATCTCAGATTCTTCTCATATCCTTTGGAGGGTAAGCAAGAATTCTCAATTTTCATACCATTTTTAGGTTCTTTAGCTATGAAATGTGCTTGAATTCTTGTAACATTTGCAGGGTTACATTGTTTCAGTCCCTTTTTCTTAAAGGAATTCAGCTAACTTCGCCGTCCGTTGCGACTGCCATGCCGAATCTCGCCCCAGGACTCATTTTTGTTATTGCTTGGATCTTTAGGTACATTGAATTATCCTTCTGTTCATTTTCGAGCTTTTTCGGGTTCGATAATAAGAGACAATTTCATTGATGCAGATTAGAAAAGGTTCGGCTAAGTTGTATCTATAGCAAGATCAAGATTTTAGGTACATTTCTCTGTGTGATAGGCGCATTCACCATGAGTATAATGCACAGCACTTTGTCGGATGCAGCTGCAAATGTCGGATGGCATCCGGCGGATCAAGCGTTTGATGAACAAAAGATCGTCGGTTGCGTGTATCTCGTCTCGGCGGTAGTCGTTTTGTCTAGCGTAGTTGTTCTTCAGGTATGTCAACTATTATTGCACATATCTTGTGACCGATCGACAAGATCCACTTTTCAAGATTTTGAATCATGTGACGATCGACAGGCATCGACACTAGGAGATTTTCCGACACCGATGTCGTTGTGTGCGATAACGTCGCTCCTTGGAGTGCTCATAACCGTAGTTATACACATAGCTCTATATCAGAAACTTGAAATTGGTTGGTCATATCTGAGTGTTGAAAAATTGATAGCCTATTGTGTTCTAGTAAGCAGCATTCAATTCTGTGGTATTTTAAGATCATTCTTAGTACATATTGGATGCATATTGATGTATGTTTTTACAAATGTTGGTGACGAGAAGAGCGGAACCGTTAGCGGGGCTTGCGTGAGCTTCAACGGGTGGGCGATGAAGAAACGAGGGCCCGTTTTGGTGTCGATGTTTAGTCCGATTGGAACCGTTTGCTCACTCGTTCTCTCAGTTTTCACCTTGGGAGAACCCATCAAGATTGGAAGGTAAATTGTTACCGTTTTTCTTCATTGTCGTTATCGTTGTCGCTGTGATCGTGGTTAAGCAAGTGTTTGGAGCATAATGTTGATATTTGGCTATGGTTGCAGCCTTGTTGGTATGTTCCTCATGTTCACCGGGCTCTATTTCGTGCTATGGGCGAAACGGAAGGAAGGTTACGCCAACCGAAACCGCCCCGAGAGTGAGTTCGACATCGACGAGCCTCTTTTAAGTTGAATTTGAATGAAATACATGATATGTTTTGTGTTAGGCATAGAAAGATTCACAGATTTTTGTGTGAAAAAGCTTTAGATTCTGAATGAAACAATTTCAAAATGAAGAGTTCCAACATTTTGATCATTAACTTTTGCAGAAGCTTGATCACCTTTGGATGTTTTGTAAGAAGATCAGTTCAGCAACACATCAGAGTTTTTTTTTTTTTTTTTTTTTTTT